TTGCAGAAGCAGCCTTAAGATCTTCGACTTCAACTGTCATCAGTAATGCTTCTCAAGAAGCCATCCTTAATTGCCTTGCCCCGAGCATGATTTTAGCTTACTTAACTGGCTGGAACTGTTTCAAAGGTTATCATGCCTTCTATCAGCGCCCTTTTCCTTCAACCAATGTCCAGTCCATCTGCAACTTCATCACCTACGTGCATTCCAAAAGATCTGCATCTGCTCTGTCCAAACCTTCTTATCAGGGATCAACTTCTTCCATAAATTAACCACTGGCAACAATTGCCCCTCCAACTCTCATTATCATATGTCCATGCTCAAAGGCTTACAAAAACGAGACCCTTCCCTGACCACTAAATGCCGTCCACTAACCACCGACCTACTTAGCCTCTGCATCCTCTCTCTATGCTCAGTCTATTTAAACCCTGCCATCGACCGAAACTTTGTCTACGTTCCTGCTTACCTTTTTCAGTGCTCAGAATGATGCCACTTTATTCAGCTTCTATCCGTCTATCCATCCCTGCATCTCTGACATTTCTATCCACTCTCCAGACACGCTCATATTCACTCTTTAGAGAAGCAAAACAGACCAATTAGGAGCATCATACCCTATTTACATATTTAAACTCCTTCCACAGCACATTCGAACCTACGTTCACTCCAGGCACATTGCCTGAGCAAGAACACTATTCAATACATTCCTTCTTATTGGAGCAGCGACCACCGACTAGACAAGGTTTCTCAGATCTCAGATGATCCGAATCCTTGGCCATTGGTCTTAACAAGCGTATCGCTCTTACATCCATAACAATCTCAACGACCTCCGTCAACCCAAGCCTACCTCAGCTCTTCTTATGGGGGTCCTAATCACTCGCCCTACATTTAACTGAGATGACCCCCCCACCCTGAGTCTCCGGGACACCAACACCAGACGACCAGATCACCATGACTACCAACCCTTTCCCCCTTCCCCTTCATCCACTCCCTATTTATCCCTAACATTCTTTCATTAAAAATAATTTTCCAACATTCATGGTTGTGGCATGGTCCTTGCTCGTGAAACTCCACTAGAGATGAGGAAGGATCAGTGGAGTCGGAGGCACGTGACCTCGCCACTGAACACATTGTGCTCCAACTCAGGATGCCAATATTTCTTCCTCAGCAGGAGCAGCAGAGGGGGGCTGGGGCAGTTTGAAAGCCAGGTGTTCATTTCGCGCGAGGGCTATCCAAATTCGAAGAGTCCTGACGCTCAAAACATCACAGTGAGGGCAGTTGGAACTCTCAATGGTAGCTTCCGTGTGGGCATGCTGCGTGTCCCAGGGCAGATCCAGAGAGAGACGCATCTGCCCGTACTGTAACCAGGGAGAAGTGGAGACAGAGCAACATCAGCTGTCCCAACTAAGAGGACATTAGAGGGACATATTATACAAAATTTGAAATACTTTGCCCTAACTTCATTAAATTAAACAATAAAACACGACTTCAACATTTATTAGGTGAAAAAATAGATTGTATCCTTCTAACAGGCAAGATAAATTTATGCCTGTCCCAAAAAGAGGGAGTCAACTAATCAGTGATGCGCTCACACACACTCGCACGCACACACACATGCAAACACTCACTGAATTCTAAATTGTTCATAGAATTCTGAAATGTTGATTAAATGTTGAAACAATTGTCATGCCAATAAAGCACATTTGAATTTAATTGTTATTCCAGTCAGGCTTCAGTATTTCCAGGAGAAAGGTGTTTCCCATAGCGTCATCAATGACACGACAGAGAGACTGATATTGAAAGTGAACCGTCACATCCTAGGAAATTGTTGAAAAATATCAGCCTACTAAAAAGAGAAGTTGCTGCAATCGGGGAAGCCACTGTGGCTCTTTTGTCGTAATTTATTTTTTGAGCAGACAAAACACAATAAACACTGTCATGTTATCTTGCCTACAGTGGCGGATGCTTGGTGTTTGGGAACGCAATCATGCGAGAGTTCTGGGAGTGCATTAAACGCTTTGATGACAGACTTTGACTCAGGCATTTCAGTATGACCAAACCAACATTAGAGATGCTGTGAGGTTTTTGAGATTTTTCTGATCACATGATCTGTTGAGGCAAAGTTACATGACTCTTTTTGTTGGGCATCTATTTATTTAAATTGATTCGGTAAATGTGATTCCATTGTAGTTTATGCGCATGATTTCTTATTGGATAAAAAATGATCCGCCTCAATTTAGTGCAGGGGTCTCAAACTCAACTTAACTGGGGGCCGCTGGAGGTAGAGTCGGGGTCAGGCTGGGCCGCATCAAGTATTCCAAAAAAGGAGCACAACTGATCCAATCTTCTCAATATTTATTATTAACGTTTCTTCTGAACTGTTCCTCTGAATTTGAACATTCCTTTCTGTACATGATTGGTTCTTCATGAGCTGTCATTCTGACAGTTGAAGTTCATTTTACAAACTTTCTTTGTCTTTTCCCTATAACACATATTTGTGATATTTATATTTGCTTATGTCCTTTTTATTTTCTTTATACAACTCATTAATGATATTGAATGTTTTTTTTTTGGAAGGCACATTATTATTATCCTTTTATTATACTTATAAAAACAATTATTGCTTTTGAAGTACAAATATTTGCAGTCATGTCTGCCCGTCTTTTTCTTTTCTACACATAGAAAATGTTTTCTACACATGTATAGTGTCTCAGGCAAATTACTGACTTTGCACAAATCAAAGCAAACCTTCTTATCAACCTGTTGGACACATATTACAAGCTCAAAATGATTATTCTCACATTGTTTTAGAGCAGGGTCTCTCTCCAACACGTCGCTCGCGATCTACCAGTAGCTCGTGGCCTGATTGGTGTTAGCTCGCCAAGGGGCCGTTCACATATCGCGCTCACATATTTTGCGCGCTCAAGTTCGTTATTTCAAATGTAGGCGCGCGGCAAGCGCGCTCATAATTGAAGCGACGCGCTCATTTTTTCCAGGCGCAGTATGTTTGTACTTCGCGGTTGTCTATGACAACTATTGACAACAAACCCACCGTAAGCTGTCACGAGACTATCTATGGTAGCCCATAAGGGATTTTTATTTTATTTTTTTACGCGGCACACGCAACGACGGGCCGCACTAACATTAAACTTTAATGCCAATTAAGTAGGGGGCCAAAAAATATCACCCCGCGGGCCGCGAGTTTGAGACCACTGATTTAGTGCATGTTTTTTTTAATGCACATTTTTTAAATTAATGCACATGGTGTTTCCATCCAGCATTTTTATGCAATATCCCAAAATTTGAATATAAATGAGTGGATGGAAACATAACATTGACAGGGCAAATCAGAAAGGGGAAGAAAGACAAAAAAGAGTGAGAAAATGAATGTGCAGCTGCAGGAAGGAGTAGGCCTAGAGATAACAGTGAAGGAGCTTCAATGACACTGACCTTGAGACAATATCTCTCTGATTTATTATGACACATGCTGATACATTGTTATTTGACTCCAGGTCAGTAAACCATATCAAATTACAAAAATCGGGGAAAATATATTGTGAACACATTCTGCTTTTAGCGGTTTCAACATTTCAACACAGTGAAACCAAAATAAACGTCATCAGACATCAACTTTGGCCGTCTATCCATGATGCTGTGCTGCACTGCCTGTGTCAGAGAGATCTGTCCAGCTCCGAGTTTGCACTTTAAACATCAACATGTTTTCTCAATAATATCATTAATCTCCTCCTGTCACAGTCACGTGAATTTTTGCTCCGTTACAGGATGAAGCTCAATGAAGGACCCTGATTCCCTGAGAATTACATCACTGTTGCCCTGTTGATGTAACAATATGGGTATTGATATATCGCGAAGAGAATGTATAGCCATTTTCAGAAAGGTGTGTGTGTGTGAACTGGCTTGGTAAGTGAAAACTCAAGTTGAGAACACAAATAACACATAAATAATTATACATTAATGAGGAACATTCTGATTACAGCTGATTAAAATACACTGTGACACTATTTTTTTATTATTATGTACACTTTATGTATAAGTAGACTTTACACCAAACTACCAGTTAAAATGTAGGGTCATTACTTAAATTTTTTTTTTTTTTAAATTATTAATACTTTTATCCAGCAAGGACTCATTATATTGACCAAAAGTGACATTTATAATATTACAAAAGATTTCTATTTCAACTTAACTTTCTATTCATTAAAGAATCCTGGAAAAAAAAAATGTTTATCACGGTTTCCTCAAAAAATATTAAGCCGCATAACTGTTTTCATCATATTAGAATGATTTCTGAAGGATCATGTGACACTAAAGACTGGAGTAATGCTGAAAATTCAGCTTTGTGTCACAGGTATAAATTACATGTATAAATCACAGTTATTTGAAATTATAATAATATTCCACAATATAAATGTTTTTACTGCATTTGATCAAATAAATGCTTTGGTTAGAATAAGAGATTACTTTCAAAAACCTTACTGACCCCAAACTTTTGAACGGTGATGTAAATATTTAACAAAATATCTTTATATTTTCATATATTTTAAATATTGTATTTGAAAAACATGCTGAGATATTACTTAAAACAAGATGATTTTATCAAACCAAATAAATGTACACAATATCAAATTGAAAATTGTTTTTATTAGCTATCCCACTCTCTGCTCCACAACAGTGCTGTAAGATCTCAGTGCAAAGTAACAAACACATAATACTGAACAACATCAGCACACTAGGCAGATAACAGACCGCCAAATTCAAGCACGTGTGATTATCTTGTGTGCCTGAGGCCTTCTTTTGAAATATAATTACATTGAAAGAAGAGGCCTTGGGCAAAATCAGCATTATTACTGCATGGCAGTTGAAATGCGCAGAATCTGTTGTGGATAACTGTGTTAATGGCATTTGGGTGTCTAGTTTTGATCTGACAATGATTCGCTTGCTCATAACAGAGTGAACACTGCTGTGTGTGTGTGTGTGTGTGTGCAGTGATGTTTGAATCTGATCAGTTGCTAGTGCTGGCGAGGATATTAAATGACACTTTCATATAACAGTGTGTTTTTATTCTCTTCCGCCTTTGGCAGAAGTCTGGCTTCATTCTCAGGTGGAAGGAACTCAAGGTGATGTCGCCCCCAGATAGGTGTGGTCAAATGCTGCCAACGCTGAACAGAGAGAAACGGAGAATCACACACACTGTATATCCCAATATCCAATAACAGGCCAGAGATTCACACAACTTTGGTGAGTTTGTGCACGCATTTGTGGATTTCGAAACATTTCTAGCATCAAGAAGTGCACACAAATCCGGCAGAGAATTCACCCACCATCTACTCAAGCCAATCAGATAACAGCCACATTGTGCAATCACAGCACGTCCTTGCTACAACCAATCACATTTTGCTTTACAATCAGGGCAGTCTGGATTAAACCTCGTGATAAACATGCAAGTTTGTGTAATATATGGAATTACTGTCACACAACAGCATTTCCCAGTTCTTCAGTCAAGCAGTTTTAATGATGGATATGAGCAGCTCCGTGGATCTAACAATCCGTTACGCATAATAAATAATACTTAAAACATTCATTAAATGTATTACAAAATGATTCCCGTTGTTTGTAGAGAATATACTTGGGTTCTTTTTAAATTTGTGACAGGTTGTTGCATTCCAAAAAGATCATCTCATGCATTTAAAAGTGAAATAAGCAATATAAACTACATTGCCAAAAGTATTGGGACACCCCTCCAAATTACTGAATTCAGGTAAATAATTGATTCCAATCACTTCCATGGTCAGTTGTATAAAACAAGCACCTAGGCCTGCAGACTCCTTCTACAAACATTTGTGAAAGAATGGGTCGCTCTCAGGAGTGGTACCGTGATAGGTTGCCACCTGTGCAATAAGTCCATTTATGAAATTTCCTCACTACTAAATATTCCACGGTCAACTGTTAGTGGTATTGTAACAAAGTGGAAGCAATTGGGAACAACAGCAACTCAGCCACAAAGTGGTAGGCCACGTAAAATCACAGAGCGGGGTCAGCGCATGCTGAGGCTCACAGTGTGCAGAAGTCCCCAACTTTCTGCTGAGTCAACAGCTAAAGACATCCAAACTTCGTGTGGCCTTCAGATTAGCTCAAGAACAGTGTGTAGACGAAAGCTTCATGGAATGCGTTTCCATGGCCGAGCAGCTTCATCCAAGCCTCACATCACCAAGTGCAATGCAAAGCTTTGAAAGCAGTGGTGTAACGCAGCCGCCACTGGACTCTAGAGCAGTGGAGACGTGTTCTCTGGAGTGACGAATCACGCTTACCAGACTGCCAATCTGATGGACGAGTCTGGGTTTGGCGGTTGCCAGGAGAACGGTACTTGCCTGACTGCATTGGGACAAGTGTAAAGTTTGGTGGAGGGGGGATTATGGTGTGGGGTTGTTTTTCAGGGGTTGGGCTTGGCCAAGTAGTTCCAGTGAAAGGAACTCTTGATGCTTCAGCATACCAAGACATTTTGGACAATTTCATGCTCCCATCTTTGTGGGAAGAGTTTGGGGATGGCCCCTTCCTGTTCCAACATGATTGCGCACCAGTGCACAGAGTAAGGTCCATAAAGACATGGAAGAGAAAGTTTGATGTGGAGGAACTTGACTGGCTTGCAGAGTCCTGACCCCAACCCCATAGAACACCTTTGGGATGAATTAGAGCGGACACTGCGAGCCAAGCCTTCTCGTCCAACATCAGTGGCTGACATCACAAATGCACTACTAGAAGAATGGTCAAAAATTCCCATAAACACACTCCTAAACCTTGTGGAAAGCCTTCCCAGAAGACTTGAAGCTGTTATAGCCGCAAAGGGTGGGGCAACTCCATGTTAAACCCTACGGATTAAGAATGGGATGTCATTAAAGTTCATGTGCATGTAAAGGCAGACGTCCCAAACTTTTGGCAATATAGTGTATTTTGCAAGCAATAAATATTTATTGGTTAAAACACTTGATCACACTAATAATATTTCATATGAATTAGACTTTATAGTTTTTGATTGTAAAAATAACTTACCGGATCCAAAATAAATGCAAAGATGTATTTTTCAGCATTGCAAAATTTGAATTTGCATTATCCACTCACAAAACCCCAACTGTAGTGATGCTGAGGCTGGTACTGTTACATCACTGATGGTCATTTAGACTCATATTCATGTTACATGGTATTATGTCCTATATTTGTGCAAGTAGCGTAAGCCTGGAGGAGTACATCAGAAGTAGAACGAGTCCGTTTAATGCAGATGACTTGTCATGTCCCGTCCAGTGACATTATAATGCGCACTTTGCTTTTGATATTCTTCAAAATATCTTCTTTTGTGTTCAGCAGAAGAAAGAAATTCATACAGGTTTGGAACAACTTACAACTAGGGTGAGAAAATTATAACAGAATTTTCATTTTTGGGTGAACTATCCCCTTTAAACTTCAACAACCTTTGGAAACGAGGTGTTAACCACAGTACTTCAGCTCAATTTGAACAAAGCGCCCATACAATAGTTGCAAAAGGGCTGCAAAATTAATATGTTCCCACCCTGAGTGTAAAGCAAAACGTGATTGGTTGTAGCGAGAATGTGCTAAGATTGGTCAGCACAATGTGGCTGTTAGTTGCCTTGGGTAGTCGATGGGTGGAGTCCACCTATTTGTGGATTTGTGTGCATCTTGAAGCTAGAAATGTTTCAAAATCCACAAATTTCAATTTCAATTTATTAATGGAAAGCCCCTTGAGATGCAACATCTCATTTTCAAGAGTTTTTAAATACGTGCTGCCATCCACAAATGCACAGGAAGTGATCCACAACTGAATGCCAGGCAAAGTTGTGTTTGTGACTTAAAAGCATACTTTTTATTTATTTGTGAATTGGATTCATTTTTGTGAAACTCCTGTATTTATTTGTGGGTTTCATTCTATTTGTTTGTGAATTTGTTCAATATTTGTGAATCTCTTTACATTCGTTTGTGGCTCAGAATCTATTTATCTGGAAATATGCAACAATTATAACCCCCTCACAGTGTAGCTTTTTTCCATGGCAAGCAAAGTAGCAACACACACATCACAGTCCTACCTCCATGAGAGAGCCTTTGCAGTGCAGCAGTTTGTAGAGGACGGTGAGAGGAATGCAAAGCATGGATGAGAGAGCGAGAAACCAGCCCAGCACCTCACCCCACCACGGGTACACATACACGGCATTATACACTAATCGCTTGTAGTTGACCACATGAAAAAAGAAAACACCCTGCGAAACACACAGACACAAACCCCTTTAATACCCTGAGAAGAATGTGAAACCCAGCGTTGATGCATATTGCACGTAAAACCCACCATACACACTACCGGCGTGATGTAAGACCAGCACCACTTCATATATGGCAGAGGACGATAGCCGATCATACAGGCCACGTCGTCCATGAAGCGATCGGCACCTGCAGGGAGAGTGAGAGAACGAGAGTGAGGTGTTTCTGGGTTCACACAAGGACTCTATATGTGCATCTCTGCATGCTCACCGTGATTTCCCAAGTACGACATGTTCCTGAATCAATAACCCTGTTGGCATGGGATAACACTCCAATGAACCAGAGGTTCCCACAACTTTTTTGTCACCGGAAGCCCTTAGATGTGAAATATTTACTTGAAGTATCTGAGATTTAATTTGTAATATTTCAATAATTTAACAACACATTTGCATGTTCACGGGAGGGTTATTACAAAACTAAAACCATTGGTTCACGGTTCTCTGATGTCGGTGAATGGTCACTTGACATGCATGTAAACTACAAAAATATTTTAGTTTTGTAGTAAGTATTTTATTATGTTTTATTTTTATTTAAAAGTGTAAAACATTGATTTAGAGAGACAAAGAGAGAGAGTGAGACCCTTTTGTTTATTTTAGTGTTACATTTGATTTAGTTAATTTTTTTAATTTCGTCAACTCACAAATCCGTTTGGGAAACCCTGCTATAAACCAATCAGATTTGAGGTTCAGGTTTGAGGCGTCTCTGCTGTGCACCAATGAGGCTTCCTAACTAGTTAAACCAAGCAAGACTTCCTCAGTCAACTGAGGATTATAATTTTTTAATTAAAATTTTAAATTCACCGGTTGGGTTTGTCCATATTTGACCCAAACAAGGGATGAAACAACCCAGCATTTTTTAGAGTTTCACGAGTTCACACTTACATACAATTAGAGGGAGTAAAGTTTAATGCATATTTGGCGTGCTGTCCGGGGGGAGGGCTCCGAGCTCGGAGTTCGGCCCGAACCCAGAGCACTCCCCCCGTATGTAAATGGTTAGGACTAGAAGTGTGGAGAAGGGGTGGTGGAGGGGTGCTGCTAAGCTGTCAACGAATTGAGGTGAGACTGCTGAATATATATACACCTCTTATCGTTGATTGCTGAGTGCTCTCCACTCGTGTTGATTTTCTGAACGTGCTCCTCCCGAACTTTGTTAATAAAACATCATGTAGTACGACCTTGATTGGCTCAGGTGTGTTTAATTTGGGTTGGTGTTAAAATTTGCAGGACAGTGTCCCTCCCATCATAAACCAGTCTGGACCAGCATGGAAATTCAAACTGGTCTTTTCAGTAGGGTTGAATTTTTGTAAGGATTATGTTTGTTAGCAATGTTGTTGCAGGACCAACAAAGTATGTTGATCCAGAAACACGTCTTACTCTGCAAAAACTACAGATTTTTTTTACCATACACCCAGGCCACCACCACACACTCCCAGAAGGCTTGCCAAAGCATAGTAATCCCACTCGCCGAGTAATAGTCAAACAGCTGGAACACATACATCCCTCCCTGTACAGAGAGAAAGTGTTACCAAAAATACATCCAGGAACCACAATGTGGTGATATGAACTCCACTGATGTATCACATACTTCACCATGGGCCTCAGACGTACCTCGGTCACCATGGAAAGATCGATAGTAAAGCAGGTAAAGCAGCATATTGCAACAACAACTTCACGACGCAGAGAGCCTTTGAATGTCTTCGGGGGCAGCATGTCCATTATTCCAGTTATAAAGCCTTCAACACCAACAAACTGAGAGAGAAAACAGAAAAATTTGTCTATTTTAAAAGGAAGCTAATGATCTAACCAAGAAATATGTGGGCAACAAGGACAGCTGAGTGTGTCTAACCTCGTCAAACATTGTTGCTAGTCTTAGAGCTCTAAGCCTAATCTGAGGCTTTGTGTGAACATTAAGGGGCCGTTCACTCAGGATGTGTTCTTGCATCCTGTGCTACTCTTTGATGGTTGCTTTACGTACAAATGTGCCACAGTGACAGAGATTAAATGGCTGGAGGTTGGCGAGTTGCTGTACAGTAGTGTTGGTTGCTAGTATGCAACTGTAGTGTACTTCAAATCTTAAAAATATTTCACGTTTAACAGGCAATTAACATGCAGTGTCTGAAAACATAGTTCGCACTTAAGTATATTCTTTTAAATATATTATGTAATAAGTACTCATTTTAAAAGTAAGCAAAAGTCTACTTCTTTTTCACAAGGGTAAAGCTGCTTTGCTGAACTCAAAAATTAAAAACAGATAAAAAGTTCAATATTCCGTTTGATTCCTATGCGCACCACCCCACTTTATGAGCCACATAAAGGGATAGTTCACCTAAAATGTTTTATTCTGTTATTATTTACTCGCCCTCAAGTTGTTCCAAACCTGTAGGAGTTTCTTTCTTCTGTTGAACACAAAATAAGATATTTTGAAGAATGTCAGTAACCAAACAGTTGACAGTAGCCATTGACTTGCATAGTAGGAAAAAAAATACCATGGAAGTCAATGGGGTCCAACAACTGTTAGGTTACTGACATTCTTCAAAATATCTTCTTTTGTGTTCAGCAGGAGGAAGAAATTTATACAGGTTGATTGAATGATGACAGAATAAAACATTTTGGGTGAACTATCCCTTTAAGAGTCGTAGAAGAAGTAGTTCCAGATACAATTTAAACAATTAAGTTTTTGTGTAATTTGATGTCTTATCAGAGCTTTTCAGATAATTTTCTTGAGGTTTTTCATAACATTCTATATGAAATGGATTGTAATTTAATCAGCTTGAGCCTACTAAAATGTATAGCAGGATTTGTGTCATAAATAAGTGGGTGGGGCCTCACCTGACTGTCCAATCCCAACACCAGAAGCATGAGAAAGAACAGCACCGCCCACACAGGCGCAAAAGGCATGAGCGACACTGCTTTTGGATAGGCAATAAACGCTAAACCAGGACCTGAGGGAAAAGAAGATCCATATGTTGATGTATCATGGTATTTGCATGGTACTCCAAAGTATTTTCAGGCACAATGGCACTACCATGGTACCAAGTATAAAAGCCTATTGTAATAGTATGTTTCATGTAATCTAGGAGAGAGTGTGATGAGGACAAATGCATATCTCACCACTTTCTGCCACATTACTGATGTCAACGCCTTGTTCGGCCGCCATGAATCCCAGAACTGAGAAAACAACAAACCCTGCAAAGAAGCTTGTGCCGCTGTTTATAAGAGCCAGAATGAAAGCATCCCTAAATAGAGAGAAATCACCATGGGATTAGCATGTAGCAGAACACGCAACGCACAGGGTTAAACTGTCTGGATTCTGAACTCATGCAACCTCTGATCTCTGCTCTGATCACAAGCATGCAAACATGCACACACTACTGTCCCACAAGGATGCTGCGGGATTATGAAACCATAAAGAAAAAAACACTCAAACATTTTTTTGGCAGGCAGGCCTTTGTGTCATTACTGTGTTTATATACAGACAAAAGAACAATAAACTATTCTCTGTACAACACTATACATACAGTAGGGACCAAAAGCGTAGACCTTTATTAGATCTTGATTATATAATTTACAGTGGAAAAATATTTATATATATATTATATATACATATATAGTGCCAAAAATCTAACCTTCCATTGAAGTAAAATAATTGAAATAAAAAAAATGCTTTTCTCCAAAACACGTTGGCCATAATTATTGGCTCCCTGTTTTTAAATACTTTTTGCAACCTCCTTTTGCCAATATAACAGCTCTGAGTTTTCTCCTATAATGCCTGATGAGTTTGGAGAACACCTGACGAGAGATCGGAGACCATTCCTCCATACAGAATCTCTCCAGATCCTTCAGATTCACAAGTTCATGTTGGCGCTTCTTCTCTTCAGGTCAGCCAACTCATTTTCTATAGGGTTCAGTTTAGGGGTCATGGCAGAAGCTTCATTTTGTGCTCAGTGAACCATTTTTTGTGTTGATTTTGATGTTTGTTTTGGACCGTTGTCCTGATGGAAGATCCAACCACGGCCCATTATAAGATTTCTAGCAGAAGGCGTCAGGTTTTGATTTTTTATCTGTTGGTATTTGCTAGAATCCACAATGCCATGTATCTGAACAAGAAGTCCAGGACCTCCAGCAGAAAAATAGGTCCACAACAACATATAAGATCCAGCAATATATTTAACCGCATGGGGTACTTTTCATCCCTGTTTGCACCAAACACATCTGATGGGTTTGCTGCCAAAAAGCCCTTTTTTTGTTTCATCTGACTATATAATCCGGTCCCTTTTGAAGTTCCAGTCGTGTCTGACAACTGAATATGCTGGAGTTTGTTTTTTTATTTTTCTTGAAACCCTCCCAAACAACATGTGGTGATGTAGGGGTTGTTTGAAATATTGTTTTAGGCTTTCTGACCCCCAAGACTCAAGTAATCTCTGCAATTCTCCATCTGTGATCCTTGGAGAGTTTTTGGCCACTCAATCTTTCCTCCTCATCGTCCATTAAGACAATATACGTCCTCTTCCTGGCAGATTCGTAACATCTTTAGTTGCTTGGAACTTCTTAATTATTGCCCTGATGATCAAAATGGGGATTTTCAATTCTTACAGCCACTTTCTATTTTGTGATGCTCAACAATCTTTTGATGTACATCGGAACTATATTTTTTGGTTTTACTCATTGTGATGGATGTTTAAGGGAATTTGGCCTTTGTGTTTCCTCATACTTAAACTCCTGTGAAACAAGAAGTCATAGCTAGACAACTTCATGTTCCTAGTCACCCTGGTGTGCTTAAAAAAGGTAAATATTAATGGGAATAAACTTCAGAGATATTTTACTCATAAAAAATTCTAGGGGAGCCAATAATTGTGGCCAACGTGTTTTGGATAAAAAAACATTTATTTCATAATGTGATTTTCCCCCGCTTCAATTCTTTTACTTCAATGAAAGGTTAGATTTTTGCAAATTTTTGGAATGAAAGATCAAAAGGATAAAAAATGCAGATTTATTTTTTACAGCCATTTTTTATCATATTTACCAGGGGTGCCATTAATTCTGACCACTGTATATATATTAGGGGTGGAACGGTACATGTATTCGTATTGAACCGAAACTGTACGGGCGTGACGGTTCGGTGCACGTATTTGCACGGAGAATACACGGTATAAAAATAAATGAAACTCTAAATAGCGATAAATTTCGCTCTATTCACGTTTGGTGTGAACGCATCATAATGAACAGGCTGCGATGTCAAGATTGCAATGCTGGAGTGTGTGTGTGTGTGTGTGAGAGGCGCGATCGAACTGTGTGTGTGTGTGAGAGAGGCGCGGGCGCGATCGAACTGTGTGTGTGTGTGTGTGAGAGAGGCACGATCGAGTGGAAACATAAAAACTTACTCTGTCATTTTCATACAGGACATCATTCATACTGCAAAGTGTTTACTTATATTTGTGTACACTCGCAATAAAACACAACATTGTGCTTTTGTCAAACTATAAACTCTTGTCTTGTCAACCTACAACTGTCACCCAACCAAAAACACACACGCACACAGTTTTAAAAGTAAAACATATTTACCCAACCCCATTTCAAAACAGTCTGTGGTTTCCATCTTTTGGACATTCATCATATCGCATTGGTTTTCATTTCTTGTCCTCGAAATCAGAGCACTAATCTGTTTATTTTTAAGTTACACATTCTACATTGATTAAAAAAGAAAATCAAATGTGTTTTTAATGGTATTATTTTATACGGAAATCAATTATTTATAATTCAGATGAGAATAAAGTTAAGGTTAATTAAAATTAAGGAAAACAAATATACTGATCTGAAATATTAACTTAATAATAATTTTAAATTCATTCAGGTACAATTACCAAACTTATCGCAAGGTCTTTTTGTCTTTTTATTAATTTAATTAATAAACTAATTATATAAACTATTGTCAGTGCACTACAAATAAACTGGTTCTATGCCTTTATTAATAAAACTTATTTAAAAAATACAAGCCTTAAGACATTTATAAAAATGCCTTCTATATTTTTGTTTTGCTTTTCCCTCCATTGTACCGAACCGTGATGTCTGAACCGAGGTATGAACCGAACCGTGACTTCTGTGTACCGTTCCACCCCTAATATATATATATATATATATATATATATATTAATTTTCATATAATATTATATATTATAATACAATATATTACATATTAGGAAGAATAAATGGAGTAATCTTGTAATCATATATATATATATATATATATATATATATAACAAAAAATCAATTGAATTGCTTCACTGTGGAATTTTTCATTTTTTCTAATAATGTAATGTTATATAATATATTATACTATATTATATATTAGCAAAATTTAAATAAATGGCATAATCTTGTTAAAAAATCATATTTACAAAAACATATTCGGTAAACTCATACTCATATTTATTTACACTGTTTATGCCCATCAATACACTATGCAGACCAATCCAAATCCACATAAATCTACTCTTATACAGTATAATGATCCCATATTTGAGAGAGTGTGCATTATGAAATAATCCTTTTGTGTGTGTGTGTGTGTGTGTGTGTGTGTGTGTGTGTGTGTGTGTGTGTGTGTGTGTGTGTGTGTGTGTGTGTGTGTGTGTGTGTGATATTCTGCTTACTGGTAGCAGTTGTTGTTGAATCGGTTGTAGCTCCCAAGGGCTGTCAGGGCCCCCAGACCGATCGCATAAGAAAAGAAGATCTGTGTGGCAGCGTCAATCCATACCTGCCATCATAATTGTCACGACAACAAGAATTATATAACCAAGTCACTTGGCTCTAGTTATTGCTTTATACATTCAGAACATGGGTAAATCTTTGCTTACAGCTGAATCTTTGCTAACCAGCTGAAAAAATGTCTAAAAATACCTTTAAGATTTGCGTTAATTTTAAAGCCCAGCTGGTATCAAGTATCTATTCTGCGGAAAATAAGTATTGGAAGCGTTTCAGATATTTTAGTATCGATATGTATCGAAAAATCTATATTTTAGACAACACTACATTGCACTTAGTTTATTATTTCAGATGCCTTTTTAAAAGACTACAATTGAATTATATATATAATATTCAACCCTCCAAAGTGGCTAGTAGGAGTGACTCCGTTACTCGCCACTGCTGAAATACACCTGCATTTGGCGGGTGTTAATGTCAAGCCCTGGTCATTTTAGATTAGGGTCCAATTCTCACTATTATATAACTATTAACTACAACTTTTGCCTCAATAAACTCCTAATTACTGTTTATTAATAGTTAGTAAGGTAGTTGTTAAGTTTAGGTATTGGGTGGATTAAGGGATGTAGAATATGATCATACAGAAAAATGCATACAGAAAAATGCATTAATATGTGCTTTATAAGTACTAATACACAGCCAATATCCTAGTAATATGCATGCTAATAAGCAACTAGTTCATAGTGAGAATTGGACCCTAAACTAAAGTGTTACCCAAAATAAAAATAAAAATAATAATAGTTTTTCAATGATTCAAAAATAACACTGATTAATTTTACATTCAAATTTGATCTATGAAATGTGGAATTGCCTGGATATACTTGCCATAGAATCAAGCACATATAAAAGCTAAAGGTGTGCAGACAGCCTCTCACCTGTGCCTCGGAGAGTTTGCTCCAGTTTGGTTTCAGGTAGTAAATAATGCCATTAAGAGCTCCTGGCAGTGTGACGCCATTAACAAACAAGACCACCAGGACCAGATATGGGAACACAGCTGTAAAATATACAATCTACACACACATACAGACACATTACTGTACCGCACTCTTATTTTCCCACCTAAAGGTAAAACCACTGTACCTCCTGAAATTAGGTATTTCTGAATCATCACAGACTTATGTTTATTATCACAGAACCCTTTCTCTGACAGTCAAGCACAGGAAGAAAAACACAGCGCGCAAACATATCCGCTGGGAGAGCTAATAATCGGCTTACACGCGGACAGCGCTCCGGCCTTTGATCTAATGTCTCATGTTTGCAACAAACGTTCATAATGGTTCGACTAATGTGTGTGTGTACAGTGAGTGTGTGTAAGGGATAATGTACAGTCAGCCAATCATTACCGCAAAATAAACCCTAGCAGGGTGAACAGGACCTCGACCACTTTTTACACAACTAGTTACCAAATAGATGCATGAAATATTGATTAGAGTACTTGTAGATTAGCTAAAACTTCCATTAATGGCCATTACAACATACAAAACAAGCAACAAGGCAAATGCTGCAACAATAGTAAAATACTTATTTGTATATTATATTTATAAACAGTACCATTCAAAACTTTCATTTTTTTTAAAAATGTTTCTTATGCTCACCAAGGCTGTATTTATTTAATCAAAAATACAGTACAAAAAGTGATACTGAAATTTTATTATAATTTAAAAATGTAATTTATTCCTGTAATAAAAGCTGAAATTTCAGCATCATTACTCCGGTCTTCAGTGTCACATGATCCTTCAGAAATCAGTCTAATATGATGATTTGATGCTCAATGAAAATGTTTATTATTATTGTTTAAAACAGTTGTGCTGCTTCATATTTTTGTGGAAACCCTGATTCCATTTTTCAGGATTCTTTGATGAATAGAAAGTTAAAAAACAGCGTTTATTTAAAATAGAAATCTTTTATAACATTATAAAGGTCTTTACTGTCACTTTTGATCAATGCAATGCATCATTGCAGAATAAAAGTATTAATTTAAAGTAATATTAAAAATACAAAAAATATAAAATGAGGTCTTACTGACCCCAAACTTTTGAACGGTAGTGTATATATATACTCACACATTTTTTTGTAGACATGTTAGCACTCAGTTCCTTGTTCTTGAGTTCCGTGTTTTTGTTTCCTTGACTTAACTGGTGACTCTTAAGCTTCTAGCCATCATCTTTCACAATCATATAAAGTATTTGTACCTTTCCGGCGGATTTAATCCCCTTCCAGATGCAGAAGTAGACGATGACCCACGTAGCAAGTAGGCACAAGACCAAGTAACCGCTGATGGTACCCACTTCATCCAAACCACCAGATAGACGCAGTACTTTACGCCTGATCAAGAAAGAAACATTTTGTCAAACTACTTTAACCTGGCTTTTCCAAAAATTAAGCAAAAAGGTTTGAGAGACCATGTAATATTGTAAATGCTATCACGGCTAAAGAGCGCACAGCCATTAATAATATAGCAAAGCCTTGTTGCATCTGTTAATAAACAACAAAAATATCTTGTTTTTATTGAAAATGTATTCAAATTCTGTCACATAGTTAAAAATGAGTATCTCTTTTATTATGCAAATTAAGTGCAGTGATATATACAGTAGGTGAACAGGTGTTTCGCATCATTACTTTTACAGTATCTGTTTTATACCTACAGCTGGAATGCTTTTTAGACCAATCAGTTTGTTTTGTATAATGCAGATTTTGTCGTCATCATTTACTCAACCTGTAAGACTTTCTTCCTTCTGCTGAACACAAAAGAAGATATTTTAAAGAATGTTTGTAACCAAACAGTTAATGGTCCCGATTGACTTCCACAGTATTTTTTCTCTCTCCATACTATGGAAGTCAATGGGGACCATAAACTGTTTGGTTACCGACATCCTTCAAAATATCTTCTTTTGTGTTCAGCAGAAGGATGAAATTCATGCAAGTTTTGTAACAACTTGAGGGTGAGTAAATGGTGACAAAATTAAAAAAAATTCTGTGAACTATCCCTTTAACAGCTCATCTGATGGCACAGCACCCTGACAAATGTCTCATCAAATCTGTGCCAGGGCAAAATCAGATTTGAAAACATTTAAAAGACACTTACTCCCAGAACTCCATAACAGACGATCTCAAACCCGCGGGCTCCAGGCAGCTGGCACTGTGGTTGAGGGAGGAGACGTTAAGAGGGGAAGGGGACAGGGACTGATTGAAACACACCCGGCTGAAGTTGGTGGTACAGTTGACGGTGTTCCACTCATGTCCACACGTGGCCCACGGCAGAGGAGAAGTGAAGGAGTGAGCCAGAAAATACAGGCCCCATACTAGAACCATGATGTAGTAGGTGTTGCAGAAGAACACAATCACCATTGATGCCAAACCAAGACCTAGAGGAAAGAAAGATATTTCCACTGCTCCAATACATGCTGTGTCTCACGCTGGACAATAAAACCCAGACAGATCAATATTCGTTTTACCATTAAAAATTCAAGACAATTGCTGGCAGGACCAGGTATGGATCTCTTTGTGGCTGTTGTAAAGGTTGGGGTGTGCGTACAAATATCTGGCTATTAATAATACTCCACCTTTAAAAAGAGGCGCGATGTTCCATGTGGCGACGCCACCCTGTTTCATGAACTGACCCAGAGCGATCTCCAGGAAGAACACTGGAATACCCCCAAAAAACACCATCAGAATATAGGGGATCAGAAACACACCTGCAACACACATGAAATGACCAAATATTCAATAGGCAAACAGGAAAAATAAATGACACAGTAGGGCACGACTACCCTCTATAATATATAAGAGTACTTATTGCAGAAATAATACCCTTCAAAATAATATAATTTAGTGTGAAATTAATGTGATGTTTTCAGACACTTCACAACACTCCACTCTGACGTCAATCGAACCCAGAAGCGCACCAAAAGTGCAAGTGTGAAAGCACCCTAAGAATGTGTTCACACTTGGCAGGTTTTTGTTCGATTAAAATGAACCCTGGTGCGATTGCTCTGGTAGTGCGGTTCATTTGAATAAGTGTGAACGCTGCCATCTGAACCCTGGTGCACCAAACAAGGGGATCGAGACAGCTGAAAAGATGAGTTTCGAATGAAATAGGAACGCAACACGGGACAAAGACATGTACAATCCAAAAACAGGACATGATGTCACAAGATGTGACCCTAAAAAGAATGTGACCCTAAATGTTTTTTTTTGTTTTTTTTTTTTGGTCCGGACCAAACGAATCAAGCGAAGTGTGAATATACCCTTAAAGTTCGGTTTTCTTGGTGGTTTTGGTCTGGACCAAAAAAAGAAAGTTATACAGTTAGGTCTGGTTCACTTCGCATTCAAACATTTTTAAAACTTAAGCTAAAGATACAATCAAGGCTGGACTGGGACAAATAAAATCAGCCCTGGCACTTTGGCCCAGACTGGCCCCCACTACATATGATCATAAACACCACTCATCTTAAGAGCTCCAACCCATATTCAGTGTGCAAATTGAACAAAGAAAAAACAAAACCTCTTTTAGCTGTGATATAGTGTCTCAGTCTACATTACACTACTACATAATAATAGTTATAATATTAATCCCATGACAGTAATAGCCATATATTGTAAAACAAATGCACTGAAAAATAAAGGAAACTTTCATAATTAGTTTTGTCGCAATTTCTATACTGGAAAGAGATAAACACATGATCTTTTATTTTGCATCAAGCTTTTATTTTGGCAGAAAACATGTTTACAAACGCATCTCATTACAATTCTAGTAAAATGCAGTACTCGTCAACTATGCAGATGTGGAAGTAACGTGTAACTGGGTAATGGGGTTCCTGCACTCATGTCATGACATAGTCATAGCCTAAGTGTTTCTTACCGCAGACTCTACACTTACTCGTGTCTCTCCTTTAATAATCAGCCACGGAAGCTGATGAAGAAAACATATCTGTTATTTTGACACATTTTACATCGTCTGCTTGAAGGGCCTGTTTTTCTTTTTTTTCTCCACGCTATTTCTCTGCACATTCCTTGTTTATTCTCCATCTCTCTGATTGTTTTGACAGATACACACACACTGACACACTCCGAGCCCAACGACGGAGGTGTTTAAAGATGTGATTGGCTCAGCCCAGTGCCAATCAAGAAAATAACCAATGGGCTTCTGATTTAAGTGTTTCATGGGCCGGTCTGTGAAAAAAAAAAAAAGAAAATCATATGCGGACTTTTTTTGACCAATAAATTCAGGGGCACAGAGACCCCAGCGACGTCAATTAAGCAAAACAAACCAAAACGGGCCGCAGATGTACAAGTTTTATGGGCCGTTAAAAAAAAAAAAAAAAAAAAAGTGTTAAGATGCATCGGCTCAAAAAGCACGTAGGTCCACCGGGAAAATGCCTTATCTGCCAGATGGCCAGTCTGCCCCTGGATACAATACAAAAAATAAACGGCTTTTATGACATATATTTTGCGAACTGAACATCCAAGAGAACACCACGACTATGATGAGAAGAAACAGGTATGCTTGAGCGTTATGTTCGTTTTTAGGGTCGCATCTTGTGACATCACGTCCTCTTTTTGGTTCATTAAGATGTCTTTGATCCATGTTGAATGAATGAATGAATGAATGAATAAATGAATGAGGCATTTATGAATGAATGAATGCCAAGGGTTCAGATGGCAGCGTTCACACTTGAATGAACAGCACTAACAGAAGGTTTTAATCAAACCAATCCAAACCTGCCGAGTGTGAACACACCCTAAGCGTGTGGTTACACTTTATTTAAAGATAAAGTCCCAGTCCCTGTGAAGTCAAAATTAAGTATGTGTTCTGAGTTTGTCACACCACAGAAAATGTGTTATTAGCCAGCCACCCAGCCAAATCTGAATAATAAAAAAAGCCTTTATTATTCTATTTATTGAGAATTATGCTCTGCTCATTATTCTCTGCTTATTCAGCTGCGCTGAAGCCACGCCCACTCGAGGGAAAGCTGCCGACGGTGATATTAGGTGATACTGCTTTCGGGACCGGAGGATGAAGGCCGAGGCGGGAGATAGTAGGTTCAGCCCCATTCACCAGTAACAGCGGATTATCAGTGAATCCCAGTTGTCTCAGACGAAAAGTTTATAAAACTATCCGTGTAAAATGATCACTACAGAAGCGGGTGTTGTGATCCTCAGCTCTCCATCAAGGTTGGCTCTTCACAAAATGAATCCACCTCTTCTTGATATGGTCGTTTTTCGGAAATTTAAATAAGGACACCGATCTGTTTTGTACGTGAACGCATCCAGGTAGTACGCATTTCCGTGACGAAGGCATAGCTAGCTAGCAAACTGTAGTCTGTAGTAACTAATAGTGACAGTAACTCGCGATTGAGCGGCAAACTGATGCGAATGTGCTCTATTGTTAGGGGAGGGGCCAGCCTCAGTGGCCTCAGTGCGTCATCAAGTAGGGGCGTGTCCAGGGGCTCCAGTGCGTCATCGAGCCCCGTTTTAGCCCCGCCCAGAAAATCCGGAACACAGCAATGGTGAAAAACTTTTCAACGGTCTAACTCCACAATTCAGTACTTCACAGTTCACAGTCTTTGTAATATGTCTTAGCTATACATTTCTAACATTTATAATGTGTTTAGAATTTTTTTTTAGAATTGCCTTTACAGGGACTTTAAGGTGACACTGTTACAGTGTAATTACACAAATAAGTACTAATTAACATGACTTAACATCATGTACTTACCATAGGGTTAATGTTAGGATTTGGTTTAGGGTTAGTTGCTTGTAATTAGAGTTGTCAAAAAGTGTCTGTACCAAGTCGGTACTGAAATCTGAAAAATGTGACTTTGAGCGAAATCATAAACACCTCTGATTGGCCATTGTGTTCACGCGCTCATCGGATATGTCTGTGATTGGCTACAATGATCAATGCACGGGAGCGTTTGAGAGCACAAGCAGGACCGGTCCACTAATAGATGCCTGCTTTCAAATGCTCCCGTCTGTATGTGTAAGCGCTTTGTGAAGAGCATCATTGATGTATATTATTTACAACATGTTTTTGAAGCGCTGATCATTGTAGCCAATCACAGACATATCCGATGAGCGCGTGAACACAATGGCCAATCAGAGGTGTTTACGATTCCACTCAACAGTGCTCAAAGAGTCACATTTAAAAAATGTCAGTATTAAGTTCAGTATCAGTATCAATATTAAGGTGTTAAACTACACTTTTAGTAGTAGTCTCAGCCTCAGACGTCACGCCCACGGAACGTTGGCTAAACGTCTGATGCATATGGTACACTTAACTGGAAACACTTCAGGAATGTCGAAGTCGTCATCTGATTGGTTGAATTTTATCGGATTTCCGGGGGGCGCGAGTGTCGCGTTTGTTTTCGGTCCGCCGGGAAACAAAGCGCAGACGTGTGATTGCGGAAGAAAAACTGTTGTGTTTACATGAGTGACAATGAGCATTTATCAAGATCAGCTAAACGTAGGATTCTCAAAAGTATGCGAGGCTCACGGCATAGACTCTTGAAGTTTTCTTCTCCTTCTTTGATTTTCTATGCTGACTGACTTGTTGCACGCCTGTTGTTGTGGGGACATTTCCACGCCCCGAAACGTGACGCTGAACGAAACGATCTGTAATTGGTTGTTTTACATGTCGGTCAAACGGCCTTATGGGCGGGCCTTGGCCAAAGAAAGCTGCTATGAATTCCAGACCTTCAGCCGTCAGTCTGAAGGTCTGGCTACGCGAGACTACACCTGTAGTAACGTGTAAAGCTACACCTTAAAATAAAGTGCTAGCAAGTGTGTGTAGATACATTGCCATGACAGTGTACTCTCTTTACAGGAATAGTTCACTTAAAAATTAAAACTCTGTCATCATTTTCTCACCCTCAAGTTGTTTCAAACCTGTATGAATTTCTTTCTTCTGCTAAACACAAAAAAATATATTTTGAAGAATGTCGGTAACCAAACAGTTGATGGACCGCAGTAAATGATGACAGAATTTTCATTTTTATTTTAAGTGAGCTCTTCCTTTAAGTACACTTAAGTGCCCTTTTATTTCATTAATATTATATTATCTGAAAGTACAGTTTATATATATATATATTAGGGGTGGGGGGAAAAATTGATTCTTAAATGCATCGCGATGCGGACGTGGACGATTCTGAATCGATTCACAAATATCAAAAATCGATTTTCGAATTAATATTTTTATTTTCTATTTATATATATATATTTATAATAACGTAACATTGACGGAACGCAAAAGACGGAACTCTGAAGCGCGGAAGTGCAGTGGCCGGACCGTGTGTGGCGTGCACATAACCGAGACGCGATGGCTGAGCGCAACACCCTCCTCGTTAAAGGCTGACGTGTGGAAATATTTTGGCTTCTATGAAGTTGAAGGGGGAAGGAGCTGGACAAGAGCCACTCTATTTGTAAGCTTTGTAGAATAAAACTAAAATATTTCGGAAACACGACAAATATGAGAAGCCATATGACACGTTTCCACCCAGAGGAGGAAAAACACTCGGCTGTAACTTACCGGTCGTTGTTATATTATTAATTTACTACAAGTATGCTGCTAGTTCAGGTACACATTTATTTTCCTGTTGGTTCTTTGCAATTTTAATAAAATATATTGTACGTTAATTCTTTATGTGTCTTCAAAGTATTTATAGTCACAGACACACACGCACAAAAGATTCAGATAATCGCTTCAGCATCGTATCGCAGCCCTCTGAATCGTAATCGAATCGTGAGGTGCCTAGAGATTCCCACCCCTAATATATATATATATATATTAAGTACACATTAAATACAATTAAGTGCACTTCTTTTTTTACAAGGGTAACAATGACTATAGCTTAGTTTTTAAAAAGATAGGATAGTTCCCCCAAAAATTCAAATTCTGTCATCATTTACTCAATGTCTTTCTATTCCAAACCTGTATGACTTTCTTTCATCTGGGAAACACAAGAAGATATTATTATTCCAAACAACACTAGACTCCATTAACTTTTAGGAAAAAAAACTTTTTGTGTTCAGGTTTAGAATGACAAAATGTTTAGTATAGGATGACAAAATGTACATTTTTGGCTGTACTATCCCTTTAAGTACACTCTTAAAATGTACTCTTTGTATATGTGTGAGAGAGAGAGAGTAAGAGGTTGTGTCTCCCTTGCAAATCATGTTGTTTACTGACAGATAAAGAATCCAGAGGTTTAGTCCATACACAACTGACACTGTTCTTGAGATGGCGTCTGAATCTTATGACACTGACGCTGGCTTATTGACATGCTTCAGCTGGCATGAAAAACAGAAAGTGAAGGGAAAACAAAAACACTGATAACTCTAAGCAGCGTGGGCTACTTCACCACCTTCATACGTCAGAAGATCTGCGCAGACGGTTAATGTTACACGAGAGGGAGAGGAGAACAAAGAACAGAGTGCCACTTCTCCAACCTTTGATAAACTCAGGCCATGAACATTAGACAGCCATTGTCCTTCCTCTTTCTTCCTGTCTGTCGGGCCCACGTTTATTAATCTCAGCTCTTTGACCTTCTGACTTATCTCTACCGGAAGATACTTCATTACATTTCAGATGTTTTAGTCTATTAGTGTTAGGAGTGTGTATGACAGACAGAACAACAGAAGGTTTTTGATGTGTCCTTTTTTTTCTTCAATGTGGTCTCAAGACTTTTAGACATATGTTTATATGTGTGAGTATCTCACCTCCTCCGTTCTTATAACAGAGGTAAGGAAACCTCCAGACGTTTCCAAGGCCAACGGCAAATCCAACACAGGACATGATGAAGTCCATTTGTCTGCTCCATGTTTGTCGTTCTGGATGCCCCAGTTCTGTGGTGGGGTCGCCTGTATCCGCCAAACCCACGCAAACACTGGGCTCAGTCACCTCTGTATTAGACCCCTCCGTCTCTGACACCAAAGGACGGGCGACTTCTGCTTCCTCCTGAGAATCATCCTCACACGTGCCTCCATCATCTGAGAGAGAGATGAACATGAATTTGTCAATGTTTGACCTTCTTTTGCTTTAATGACAGCAGAATTTGTGCTGATATAAAGTCTATATATATAAACATCATATATATATATATATAATATACAGTATATATAAATTGAATGCAAATGCACCCATACAGCATGAGGGTTTGATTGTTTGCTGTGCTCCTATGACATCAGTGGCAGTTTTATGCATGTCAGAGATGCAGTTGAATCCAGATTGGAGCGGATTGAAGGACTGTGTGTTTGAGAGAGAGCATGTGTAAGGAAGAAAGTGAAATAGAGACACTTGATACAGGTAAAAACATGAAGAGACCACATCCGGATCCTGATCAGACACATCAATAGTACTGCTAATGGAAAGATAACGTTACATTACACCACACACCATTCTGATTCCTTTCGATATCAGTTTATAGATTATATTGTATGTCAAAAACACAGCCCAGAAAATGTATTCTTGTCATTATCAAATATGTATGTAACGTTAAACAAACAAACATAAAGTAATTCTTACTGGAGAAATGCTCTTCTGGCGACATAGTTACCGCGCGCTGGACACCAGGAGCGGCGCGCGCCCGAGAATCGACTAATAACCGTTATTCACGTTTTGATTGATTGATTTATTTTCAATTCGCGTTATTCAATACTTTTCCGAGGGGGTGCTGTCTGGTTGTTTAAATAAATTGATCTTCAGCAGAAGGTTGATAAGATTGATCTCCAAATTACAATAATTGACGTGCGTCGCAGGGAGACGAGGAAGAGGGTCTCAAAAGCAGTCGACAAAGCACTTGAAGGTCAGCCTGAAGAATCGCATGGATGTCGGTTAAACGAGAATGATAGTAAGTCTTAGGGAATCTCGCGGTTTGGTAAAGTAATATAACGGGAAAGCAGGTGTTATGTTGGCGCCCGTCTCGTTGGATTTTACACTGCTAGGCGTCAGCGCTCAGCTCGCAGCGTCCCGGCTATAACGCTCGACGCGGCGCTGTGATTGGCTGACGGATGTGCGGTCGTCTGTGATTGGCTGATGTCCGATGAAGTCACACAAACCTGTACCTGACTAGAGACGCCGCGTACTGATACAAACTAGTACACTCCCTTAGAAGCGTACATATCTATGCGTTGCTGCTGACGAGGAATGTCAGAAGATGTGTTGGACTTGTGAATTGCATAGATAAACTGCTTGCCTGACTAAAATATATACAGAAACGCATCGAGTGAGCAACTCATGAAGTCATCAATGCTGGTTAAATTCGAGTTCACTGGGTTGATTATTAGCTTGTGGACCTGGTGAAAAGGGAAGAATAAATGTGGTTTGGTAAAAGGAACCTGCCTGGACTTAAACCTTCTGTTTAACTGATTGCCTTTGGACTTTCAGCATGCTATAGGCCGACAGTTTTTAAAAAAAAAATTTTTTTCTTTATATATACCTTTATTTAACCATGAGGTCCCATTGAGATTCAGAATCTCTTTAACAAGAGAGACCTGGCAATAATAATAAATATATTTGTCTGATGAAGTCTTCAAATTTGGACGAAATGTCGTTGTTTTTCAAGAATAGTTACATTTATGTTTGTAGAGTGAGTTCACTTTGGACCTTATAACCCCCTACCCAAGTAGTTTGCATTGCACTGAAGTGGATATAAAAGGTATTTTGCCAATGCTATCACTGGGCAGAAAATATCATAATATATGGTAAATGGTAAATGGACTGCATTTATATAGCGCTTTCACTGACCCAATGGCCACCAAAGCGCTTTACAATTTGCCTCACATTCACCCATTCACTCACTCATTCATACACCGACGGGCGACGGCAGCCATGCAAGGCGCCATCCAGCTCGTCGGGAGCAGCTGGGGTTAGGTGTCTTGCTCATGGACACCTCGACACTTGGTCAGGTGGAACCGAGGATTGAACCACCAACCTTCCGGTTTGTAGAGAACCTACATGAACCACTGAGCCACTGCCGCCCCATATACAGTGCATAATACATACAAGCACAGCCAAACAGCTGTGAGAAACTATTCGTGAGTCACCAAAAGCCCCCAAAATTCCATAGACTCTGTATTAAGCCTCGAGATCCAGGGGTATTAAAGGATCTTTTGCAATAAGAGCTTATGTGCAGTTCTCTCGAGTTCCCTCAGCTGCAACAGCACAGGAGAAATAAAACTAAAGAAAGACAGTTATAGTTAACCCAAAACAGAAAATTATATCATAATTTACTCACCCTCAAGTTGTTCCAAACCCGTTTCCGTTGAACACAAAAGATGATATTTTGAAGAAAGCTGGTAACCAAACAGTTGATGAGCCCTATTGTCTTCCATAGCATGGAAAAATATATATGGAAGTCAATGAGAACCATAAACTGTTTGGTTGCTGACATTCTTCCAAATATATTATTTTATGCTCAGAAAGTTTGTCATCTGACCAATCTGAAGGATTCATGAGATATTGTTAACTTGTATTATCTCAAGACACTTATCTTATTCTGTATTAACACAAGATACAAGTGTAATAAAATAAGTTTTATTTAAAAAAAAGATAAAGAAGAGTAAATCATCATAACTACTAAATTAATACCATGAATGATAAAGGAATAAAGTGCACAGGATGCATTAAATACAAGTGATTACGTGGGTTGTGGCTATGGCAGAGATACATTATCCTATGGAAAGATAAATGGTTGTTCCTCTGAAACTAATAAGGTGAAGACCCTCATTATACATCAAACAAATTAATAAAATATTATTTGTTATTCACTAGCATCAGTTACATTACCTCTAATGTAAAATCATATACTACTGATATATGATTTCATATACCGGAAGCTCAGACCTGGTATGTAGTTAATGTCTCACTGGATGATCTGGAGAAGGTGTGTCTGTTGAAAGGGTACGTTTATCCTTTTCCAATGAGGAGGAGATGGCAATTTGGCGATTCTCAATTCCAGTGCTGTGATTGGCTGCTGGCCCTCCCTTCTTTCCCCTGTGGAACTCATTTGCATAATCTAAAGCACACACATGCAGTGTCTTTAAAGTTTTACCAATGCATTTCTCACTTTCCAAACCACCACCAGAATACCTTTGGCAATATTCTAAACAAGATGGAAAAAGACTGCCATGCAAGCATTCATTTGTACATTAACAGCTGAATTTGTGTGAGATGTTGACCACCGAATAGCTGTCACTGAGAATACTTATTTCTCTAAATATGTAGTTTACATAAGTTTCGGATCATTGCGGCCTCCCTTTGTTTCAGCCACTGCTCTTACGTCCAAAAAGTCCTAAAGAATTTTTGTGGCGGTTGGCTTAAACCTAAGGGATTAGTCTCATGATGGGTGCAGGGCAGAAACTACCTGTGGATCATGGAGAAGTCCCATCCTTCCCATGCTTGAAGAGTCAGTCAGTTGCCCTAGCATCATCCTTATCTGATGGTGTTGGACATTTGTTTGTACTAGTCCACCAAGATCCAATCGAAATGTTTCAAACCCTTCTCCACTGTTGCAGTAAGACAAGGGCCCTGCCATTAAACTGCGCCCTGGAATGTGCTGTTCCCTACACTGCTGATTTACAAGTGCTGCATGGGCATTATAACTGCTGTGCACATGCAAGAAGAGACCTTTGTTAGTGTAAGTGAAGATAACGCCCTCTTGTGGGGAAAACGTGCACTTGTGTATCAGTGAAAGCTGTTGAGGTTTAAAAGGTTAGATCACCCAAAAAAGAAAATTAATTTTATTAATTACTCGCCCTCATGTCATTCCAAACCCGTAAGACTTTTGTTCATCTTCAGAACACAAATGAAGATATTTTTTATGAAATCTGAGAGATTTCTGTTCCTTCGTTGAAAGCTACGCAACTACCACTTCCATGCTTTAAAGGACTCATAAAGAAGATGTGGATTGAGCGGTTTAGTCCAAATTTTCTGCAATGAACCTCATTGGTTCTTGCTGAAGCTCAAACGTGCTGCGTAACACGAGAACGAACCTCATTGGTTCTTGCTGAAGCTCAAACGTGCTGCGTAACACGAGAATGAACCTCATTGGTTCTTGCTGAAGCTCAAACGTGCTGCGTAACACGAGAATGAACCTCATTGGTTCTTGCTGAAGCTCAAACGTGCTGCGTAACTCGAGAATGAACCTCATTGGTTCTTGCTGAAGCTAAAACGTGCTGCGTAACTCGAGAATGAACCTCATTGGTTCTTGCTGAAGCTCAAACGTGCGGCGTTACACGAGAATGAACCTCATTGGTTCTTGCTGAAGCTCAAACGTGCTGCGTAACACGAGAATGAACCTCATTGGTTCTTGCTGAAGCTCAAACGTGCTGCGTAACTCGAGAATGAACCTCATTGGTTCTTGCTGAAGCTCAAACGTGCTGCGTAACTCGAGAATGAACCTCATTGGTTCTTGCTGAAGCTAAAACGTGCTGCGTAACTCGAGAATGAACCTCATTGGTTCTTGCTGAAGCTCAAACGTGCGGCGTTACACGAGAATGAACCTCATTGGTTCTTGCTGAAGCTCAAACGTGCTGCGTAACACGAGAATGAACATCATTGGTTCTTGCTGAAGCTCAAACGTGCGGCGTAACACGAGAATGAACCTCATTGGTTCTTGCTGAAGCTCAAACGTGCTGCGTAACACGAGAATGAACCTCATTGGTTCTTGCTGAAGCTCAAACGTGCGGCGTAACACGAGAATGAACCTCATTGGTTCTTGCTGAAGCTCAAACGTGCGGCGTAACACGAGAATGAACCTCATTGGTTCTTGCTGAAGCTCAAACGTGCTGCGTAACACGAGAATGAACCTCATTGGTTCTTGCTGAAGCTCAAACGTGCTGCGTAACACGAGAATGAACCTCATTGGTTCTTGCTGAAGCTCAAACGTGCGGCGTAACACGAGAATGAACCTCATTGGTTCTTGCTGAAGCTCAAACGTGCTGCGTAACACGAGAATGAACCTCATTGGTTCTTGCTGAAGCTCAAACGTGCTGCGTAACACGAGAATGAACCTCATTGGCATACCTGTCAAATTTTGGATTTGAAAATAAGGGAAATTTTCCGGCGCCCACCGCGAGCAGTCCCACCACCCCAACAAAGCTACAGTATCCCTTACATTTTAAGACAGGTGTTATAGCCTAAATGAAAACACACACACATATAATATATATATATATATATATATATATATATGTATGGTAGGCCTATATATATGTATGGTATAGCCTATATAGGTACATTAAGAGCATTATTTAAAGGCTTATTTGCATATTTTCTGTTCATTTAACATTGCTTGTCTTTACATTTACATTTTATTTTCATTCCACACATTATTTTCATTTCATATTGCTTTTCTTTTACAGTTTTTCTTTACATTTGCAGTTTTTCTTATTTCACATAACTTTTCTTTACTCTTTTAGTGAGTTATTGAACAAATTTGTTGCAGACTTTGTAATTAACTGTTTTGGAAGGAGTGTATTTGTGGGCTGGGCCAGAGTGGTTAATTTTACATGAGAGTAGAGCAAACAGTTCTGTTGTCTAACATCATCCTATCCTCTGTAACAATCTTTCATACCATGCTAAACACCCTTTCTCGTGTTGACATACATCATTCCTTCCCCGTGTGAGATGCTAAAGTCGCAGTTACAAAACGTGTGACTGTCCCCCACCCTGCTCCTCTTCAGAAAAGTAAATTCGCTATCCCATTGATCGATCGCGGTATTTAGTACATGAGGGTTTTGTTTTTTTTGGCAGGAGTGCCTTGCTCTGTCATAGCGTCCATCATCCGACTCTGTTTTTGTTTGTTTTTTGTTTCCCCCGCGTTGTCACTCATCATCTGACCTCACACACTAACCTCGCGACAACTGCCACCTACAGTACCTGTAGTTATCGCGAGGCTAGTGACAGAGCTCAGATTGGGAATGATTTTTTTTTTTTTTTTTACTCCGCCCGGGGTATTATTATTTTT